AGAGAGAGAAAGAGGAAGGGAGAGGGAAAGAAAGAGGGAGGGAGAGAGAGAGAAAGACAACCAGAGAGAGAGAAAAAGAGAGACAAAACGAAAGAGAGAGACAACCAGTGAGAGAGAAAGAAAACGAAACGGAGAGACAGATGGAGATAGAGATAGGTAGATAGAGAGAGACGAATACAAAGAGAAAGAATGGAAAAGAGAGAGAGGAAATAGATTAACAGAATCTCTCCAAGGTCACAGAAAAAAAACACAATGAAAAGACTAAGACGACGAAAACAACGAATGAGGGAACTGGGAGAAAAAAAGTAAAGAGAAGAAAGAAAAAAGAAAAAGAATAACTACTTAAAGAAAAAAAAAAGAAAAAAACGTATTAACTTTTAAAAAATTAACAATAAATAAGAAGCAAACGAATAGATGAAAGATAAAAAAGAAAGATAAAAAAAAATAGAATGATAAATAAATGAATAAATCAAAGTATATCACAGCGTCACGCCCACAGACGAGAGAGGTCGAGGCAGCGGGCGGTCGAGAAGGCATGGGCGGGGCGTCTAATATTTAGGCAAATGATCTTTCGAAATCTCTTCTGTAAGGGTGATGAATCTCTCTCTCTCTCTCTCTCTCTCTCTCTCTCTCTGTCTGTCTCTCTCTTCTCTCTTCATCCTCTCTCTCTTCTCCTGGTCTCTCTCTCTCTCTCCTCTCTTATCTCTCTACCTTTCTCTCTCTGCCTCCTGCCTCCTCTTCTCCTCTCTCTCTCTCTCTCTCTCTCTCTCTCTCTCTCTCTCTCTCTCTCTCTTCTCTCTCTCCTTCTCTCCCCTTTCTCTCTCTCTCTCTCTCTCGTCTCCTCTCTCTCTCTCATCTCTCTCTCTCTCCTTCCTCTCTCTCTCTCTCTCTCTCTCTCTCTCTCTCTCTCTATCTCTCTCTCTCTCCTCTCTCTCCTCTCTCTCTCTCTCTCTCTCTCTCTCTCTCTCTCTCTCTCTCTTCCTCTCGTCCTCTCTCTCTCGTCCTCTTCTCTCTCTCTCTCTCTCTATCTATCTATCTCTCTCTTCTTATCTCTACTCTTCTCTCATCTCTCTGGCTTCTCTAACTCTCGGGTTCTCTTCGTTCTCTCCTCTCTCTCTCATCTCTCGCTCTCTCTCTCTGCTCTCGTCTTCCTCTCTCTCTCTTCTCTCGGTCCTCTCTCTCTCCTTCATCCTCTCTCTGTCTTCTTCTCTGTCCTTCTCCCTCTCTCCCTGTCCATTCTCGTTCTCTCGAGTCTCTCTCCGATCTCTCTCTCTCTCTCTCTATCCTATCTATCTATCATCTATCTATTCTCTATCTCTCTGCTCTTATCTTGCCTTTCTCTCTCGTCGTATCTCCCTCCGTGTCTCTCATGCCGCTCTCGCAGATGTTCGTCCTGATCCCTCGCCTCCTCTCGGTCAGCCTCTCTCCTCTCCTACCCCTCTCCTCATCATCTGCTGTCTGTGCTCGCTTCCTGGGTTGCTTCTCCTCCTCCTCTCTCCCTCTCTCGTACTCTCTCTCGCCGCTCTACTCTCCTCTCATCTTCATTCTCTCAGTCCGTCTCTCTGCCTTCTCTCTCCTCGTCTCTCCTCCTCGTCTCTCTCTCTCTTCTCTCCTCGCTCCTCTCAAGCTTCTCTCTCTCACCACGACGTCTTCTCTCTCTCTCACTCTCTCCCCCCTCCTCTTCTCTCGCCTCTCCTCTTTCCTCGTCATCTCATCTCTCTCTCTCTGATTGCATGTATTGTATATTTTTATATATTTTCGCTCCTCAAAGCCCGCCCCCCCGCGGTGTCACGTGATTAGATGCAAATCCTAATGATTAAACGTTTCACGCACGTCAAGCCAACCTTCGAAATATTTGAATATTTGGCTTCAACAGAAAACGGGAGGTCAACAGAAAACGGGAAGGACAACAAGAAGGAGGGGAATGCCTCTTGAGGGAGCCTTGATGAGACACGTACAGACATGATATGCTTGCACAACACACATTCACGCACACAACACACCACACGCATAGACACTCACTCACTGTATTAGACACACACGCACGTTCACACACGCACACGCACACACAACACACGCACGCTCACACACACACACACACGAACACCACAACACACACACGCACACACACACACACACACACACACACACAAACCACACAAACACACACAACACACACACGCACACAACACACACACACACACACACACACACACACAGATATACGCGGGTGTGTGTAGAATAGAGAGGTAAAAGAAAAGTTACGAAATGAAAAGAAAATGAAAGTAATCATGATAAAGATGATGACAATAATAAATATGACGTTAATGATGAAACGAGAAAGATAATAGAACGATTAAAACCATTCATGATCAAAAGGAATATCCAGATAATGAATAAAAAGAAGATAATGAAGATAACAAGAAATAAAAAAAATAAGAATAAGGAGATATTGAGGAGATGAAGAATTAGATAGAAATTAGATAGTGAAATAAGAAGAATGAATAACAATAACAAGAATAGAGACAAGGAGAAAACAAAAAAAAAAAAAAAATATTCACTTCCCTCCCTCCTCTTCCCTCTTCCTTGGCTCGCCTCACCTCCTTCGGGTCGTGAGAAAGTAACCTTCATTTCCTCTTTGCCGGTAACAGGGAGCGCCGCCGTAACGCACCGTAACGCGTGCTCTGTTGCGGAACTAAAAAGAGGATATTTTTGATTTTTTTTTTTTTTTTTTTGCGTTTTATTTATTTATCTTTTTTTTTTTTTTTTTTTTTGGGGGGGGGCGTGGTTTATGATTTTTTTCGTTTTTTTTTTGGGGGGGGTAGGATTCTTTTTTTTGGGGGGAGGGTTATGATTTTTGATTTTTTTTTTCGTTTTTTTGGGGGGTTTATGATTTTTTTTTTTTTTTCGGGGGGGGGGTAGGATTTTTTCTGGGGTTATGAATTTTTTTTTTTCATTTTTTGGGATTTTTTTTTGGGGGGGGTGGTTATGATTTTTTTCGTTTTTTTCGGGGGGGGGGGTAGGATTTTTTTCTGGGTTATGATTTTTTTTTCATTTTTCGGGAGGGTGGGATTTTTTTTGGGGGGGTGGTTATGATTTTTTTTTTTTTTTTTTTTTCTTTCTTTTAAGGGCGAGGTTCGAGTTTTCGTGGTGTTGTTGACGTGTACCTTGGTGCGTGGGTGTGGTTTGTTTGGTGTAGAGAGAGAATGGGGTGCTTGTTGTTGAGGCGGCTTGGTGGTTAGGGGACATACCGTACTGGTAATTGTATCTTCGTAGGTGTTCCCGAGTTGTTTTACTCTTTTATATCTTAATAT